CAGGGACCTTCATGGAGGGTCAGCATGTGGGCGTGACCCACCATTAGCTCCATCTGCAGCCCGCTCCCGCCCCCAGGGGGTGGGGGATGGCGCTGGGAGTCCCAAGCTTCCAGTCATGGCTTGCTCTTTCTGGTGACCAGCCCCGTTCATCCGGGAGCCCACCAGGCGTCACCTCATGAGAACAAAGGACACTCCTGTCAACCAGGAAATTCCAAAGGACTTGGGAGCTCTGTGTAAGACACTCCTGTTAGACCACCACTCAGGCAACGACAGGGCTTCAGGAGCTCTGAGGCAGGAATTGGGGTCAAAGACCAAATATTGATGCTTCTAGCACCCCGATCACCCAGGGGATGAGAAGGGTTTTAGAGGCTGTGTTCCAGGAACTGGGGGCAAACACCCAATAGATGTCCTACTATTTCCATCAGCTGGTACATCCCACAGCAGCACATCCCGGTGCTCAGCACGTGGCAGCTCTTACTCCCCGGTCAGCAGCATCCTCTGCTGTCCCTGAGGGGGGAGACCATTCTCCCCGCTCAGCCCTCCGGATCAGGACTTCCCCTGTGGAAACACTCAGGTCATTGGACCTGAGACCCTTCTGTCCCCAGGCTGGTGCTCTAACCACTGAGCATGCTGGCCAGGGCTGGCTTTCATTTTAGAAGAACCCCTCCATCTGCCAAGCTGAGAATAAACTGTAAAGGCGAGGCTGGAATCAGGGAGACCGGTTAGGAACTATTGCAAGAATCCAGATGGGAGATGGTTGCAGCATGGACAGGACTGGTGACTGGCTGTGCAGGGATGAGGAGTGGCCCATTTCCACGTGATTTTGAAGACAAAGATGATGGGAAGTGGGATCTGAGGGACAGAATGGAGAAAGGATGAGTCTGAGGTCTCTCTCAGGCCTAAGTAGCTGGAAAGATGGGAACACCTAGGGAGGAGGAACTTTTCCGGATGAGATCGGGATTTGGGGTCCGGACATGTTTAAGCCTGAGATGTTTCTGAAAGTCACATAGACAAATGGATACACGAGCCTGGAGTTGGGGAAGAGGTCCATCCTGGAGAAATAAAACGGGAGCCATCCAGATCTGGTTGGTATTCAAGGCCAGGAGACCGAGAGAGATGGCCATGGGATTGTAGACAGAGAAGGGGCCAAGGTCTGGCCTCTGGGGCTTGGCAGTGCTTGGGTCAGGGAGATGAAACAGTGGAGCAGCCAGCGAGGTGAGGGGGAAGCCAGGGGAGTGTGGTGTCTGGAAGCCAAAGGCAGACGGTGTTTCCAGGGAATAGTCATCTGGGTCCAATGTTGCGATGGCTTAGGGAGATGAGAGAAGTGATCATCGCGTTAATGGCACGGAGATCTCTGAGGACCTCGTCACTAGAAGTTTCTGTGGGCTGGTGGGATGGAAGGCTGGCGGGAGTGGGTCTAAGAGAAGAAGAGGGGAGGAGCTGCGGTCAGTGGGTGTAGACTCTCCTGAGGAGTTTGCTATGAAGGGGGACAAAGAAAGGGACAGCAGCTGGTGAGGGAGGCAGGGACAAGAGGGGTCTGAAGATGGAGACAGAACAGCATGTTTACATGTTGATGGGAATGACTCCACAGAGAGGGAGAACTAATGGTGCAGGAGCGGAACAAGAGGCACTCGGGTGACGGGCTTGAGTCGGGTTGGGATTTGGACACGGTGGGAGGGCTCGCCTGGGACCTCCTTTGGCTGTTTGGAGACGTTTATGAGCCCTTCTCAGAACAATGTCCTTAAAATCATGAGATTACCAAGGAAAACAACTTTATTGAAAAATTATAAAAATATTAAAGAATTATGATCTAATAATGCAGATGCATTCAAGAACAATCTAGTAACAGGTCTAATAAACGACCCTGCTTTCAAAGTAACGACGACGAGAATAAACAGCATTTCACAGTATCTGCAACTGAAGGTGATTTCTATTGGAGACGAGGTCACAGATGCTGCCGATATTTCTGTGTTGGTGGCCTGATGCCATAATGGAAGGAAATGCTAGTTTTCAGGTGGATCTTGGTGGAAATCAGGATGTCATTTTTTCCCCATGAAGGTTCAGAGAGCCTGGATTCTGACCAGCCCCGTTTAGAACATCTGGAATGTTTGGAACATCCAGTTTTAGAACATCTGTGTTTGGGGATGGTAGGAGGACAAGACAGAAGAAAACTGCACTCACACGAGGCCACATGAGGCAGAGCTGCCCTGTCAGACTGTGATGTGAGAGAGAATGAAAGTCCTGTCTCATTCACTCTATCATCTTTTGGGGCCTTTCGTTATAACAACGTATCCTGCACCCTAACAGAGAGGCGGACGGCGATGGAACAATTCAATCCGCAACAGCGTGCGTCCATTGATTGCCGCGTCCCAAAGCAACCTGAAACCCAGCGAGGGCCTCTGGACTGCCAGCCTGGGAACTCAGGACTGAGACCTTCCCATCCCACCGTGTGCCTCCCGATGCCCAGGCCTGGGCCTCCTCGTGGCCACCCCCATCTGGGCCTCAGCGAAGTCCACCTGTTTCCTGTTCTTGGCCTGGGCAGGCTGTGCCCTGGCCTCACCCTTGATGTGACTGGCTGACAGAAGAACAGCTGCCGCTCCCCTCCCCTCGCCGCCCCCCTCTCAGGCGCAGACACACCCGGACAGACCTCAGGCAGATCCCTGACTACAGTTAGCAGGAATGTTAGCCGAGGACTCGGGCTGGTTGGGCCATGACTGCTGGCAGGATCCCAGGATTCTGAGGGGGTCTGAACTGGAGTTGACTGTGCAGCTGGGAGCAGCAGCGATGCCCTTAAAAAGGGAAAGGAGAGAGATGCCAAGGAGAGAGACAATGCCTGCGCCAGGAGGACAGAACTCTCACCAGGTGGGCAGAGGGAACCAAGTCAACAATCATAGCAACGAGAGCCACCATTGACTGAGTACCTACTATCAGCCAGGACTCTTCTAGAGCTTTCCATACACAGCCTCTCTTAACCCTCACAGCAGCCACCCACCCCGAGTTAGATTTTACCAGCTTCACTTTACAACAATGCAAACCGAGGCTCAGAGAGGTTGAGTCACTTGTTTAAGGTCACACAGCCAGGGAACTAATAAGCATTCAAACCTCTTTTTATATATATAATTTTTTTTTATAGATTTCAGAGAGGAAGGGAGAGGGAGAGAGAGATAGAAACAGCAATGATGAGAGAGAAACATTGATCAGCTGCCTCCTGAGCCTCCCGGGGAGTCTGAACTGGCCTTTTTCTCCTCACCTTGGTTTCCCTTCCCCCAGACCTCCCAGGGCTGCTTGTACCTGCTGACCCTGCTGTCACTTGCTCTCCTCCACCTCTGCCTGAGGCTGCCCTCGCCTCCCTGACCAAGGTCTCAGATGCTGTCATTAAGGCCTGGTGTCTCTCTTTCCAGCTCTTCGCAGAATTCCTTTGGGTCCCTTCCATTCTCAAACAGCTCTTCCCCTGGGGCAAGCCGGCCCCACCAGCTCCAGCCTCACACCCTCCCAGGTTTAACTGCAGAGGGAAAGCCTCAGCTCCACCCTCACTGGGTCTCCTTGGCTCTCACTGGGTCATTTTCTCCTCCCTGAACAGATCCGGGAGCCAGGAAACCCAGGGAGGGAGGAGGGAGGGAGAGATCCCCCAAAGCAAAACCTTGTGCTGCTGCCGGAAAGGGGGCAATGGCCACTGAGAGGCAACGCGGCAGGTAGGCCTGCACCGGCCCCTCATGAACCCCGTGGTGGTCTTGAACTGTGCTTTCCTTTGTTCGAGGAGCCAAGGCCAGAGGCAAAGCCCCCTCCCCGCCCCTCCCCCGTATGGCTCCCTGTCCCCCTTCCCTGACCCACATGCAGGCTCCTGCTGGCACTGCCCTCAGCTGCACGCCTGTCCCCTTCTAAGGGAAGCCTGTCTCTAAAGGGCTCTGCAGTGCACGGTGGACGGCCCTTTGGGAACCACCACACAGGAACTTGTTTCGATGCCTAGCACGGCCTCTGTGTTCTGGGTATGGCTACGGCTGCATCGGCAGCCTGCGTCCCAAGGAGCCTGAGAGCTGGTCCCTGCACCCTCAGAGCTGGGGGGGGGGGGGGGGGGTGGCTCCTGGCCTTCACCAGGAGGACTGCCACCTCAGCTCTGTGGTCTTCAGCTGTGGGACTAAGCTCACAGCCTTCATTTTCTCATCTGCAAAATGGGGTGAGTTATACTTCCCTCCCAGATAAATGAAGCCACATGTGAAAATTGAACAAAATTCCTGAGGCCTGGATCAGTGCTTCTCAAACTATCTGTGAAAAAGAACAGTTTCTTCTTCTTCTTATCTGTCATAAACCAGTGCTTATGTAAAACACAATAAAAATGAAAAATTAAATTTAAAAAGATATAGAAAATACAAGCTGTAATTTTCACTATTATATTCAACCAATATGAAATTATTCTGTCATATAGCTTTAAAGTTTCTAAAGGCTCACTCTCGGTCTGGTAACACTTCCAGACCAGGATAAACCCATGGACTACACTTGAGTCGCACAGATCTCGGGGGCTCCCCACAAATGGCTTTTAACTGTCCCATAATCCACTCTTGTTTATGTGATTATTGTTTCCAAACTGACTTTTCTCTTCCCCCTTTTGCAATTCCAGGTTTTATTGGAGCATGAACAAGGCTTGTTGATTGGCTCAATGGTGGAAACAGAAAGTTGTGTGTGAGGCCAGGAGTGGTTCAGCATCACCGCTACCCAGGATGTCATAAGCAGCTGCAGCAGACGCATGGACTCTGATCTCACCAGGTCTTATAACCTCGCAGTGTCAGAGGCTGCTGGTTGTTCTCCAAGATCCACTTTCCCCTTCTTCCATAATAATAGAGTTTTAGGTAGGAACATGGTTGTCCAGCTAAAGACCACATTTCCCAGCCTCCCTTGCAGCTAGGTGTGGTCATATGACTGAGTGTGGCCAATGGTCTGTAAACAGAAGTGATTTCTGTTCTCTTGATTGGGTAAGTGCTCCCTGTCTCCCTTTTCTCCTTCCCATCAGCTGGTACATCACAAGAACTAAAGTAACTCTGGAGCCAGAGGTGGAACCTATGCAAAGAGAATGGTAAAGTCTCCCTAAAAACTCTGGACAAAGAAACTCCTATTTTATCCTAGCCACTGTATCTGGAGGTTGTTCTGTCGCTGTAGCCTAGCCTGGGTCCTGCTACTGAAATGAGCAGTGGCAACAGACCGGAATTCTCCACCAGGGTTGACTTGGAGACCTATGTGTCTGTCTCTTAGTTTTGAAGCAACCCTTTCAAGCAATTGTCATGGGGCCACCAAGGGCTGGGCCCGTGCTGAATGATCTCAGAGCCTTCCTGCCTGGCAGAGAATGTGCTCTGACCTCTGGCATGCCCTATGACCTTGACAAAGTGAGACTGTCCTGTTGAAGGGGTGTGGTGGGAAACCAGCTTTGATTCTGCAGGGTGAGCTCTCTGGGTGGGCAGGGTGTTAGGCAGCAAATGACTCAGAAGGTAACTGCTGCCTGCCACAGGTCCTCAGGGAGTTTTGACTCACTGTCTTGGCCAAATAGGAGTTTTAAGAGGCTATAGAAACAGCCCTGGCCGGGTAGTTCAGTGGGCTAGAGTATCATCTCGATTCACCAAGGTTGCGGGTTAGATCCCCAGTCAGGGCACATACAAGAATCAACCAATAAATGCATAAATAAGTGGAACAACAAATCAATGTTTCTAAAATAAAAAAAGAAATAAAAATAAGTAAAAGAATGAGCATTTAAAAAAAAAAAAAAAAAGAGGCCATAGAAATAAAAAAAAAAAAAAAGTAAGGAGAGCAGAATTGGAAAATTGGAAGACAGATTCCCAGGATATCAGAGGCACTTCCTGTGGCCACAGACCCCTACCTCTCCTCAGCTGACCCAGCCACAGTTGGAGTCTGAGTGCTAGAAGAGGGTCCAGTGGCACAGTTGACTGCTAATCCAGCTTCCCAATCCTAGTCATAGCTGCTTGGGTCCCCTGAGGCAGGAGGAGGGGCACGTGGGCAGGAGGATGGTTGACAGCTAGGGGACCCAGCTGCCTTGCCGAAGCTCCGCCCACTCCAAGAGGGCTCTAGGGCCACCCCACAGCTCTGGGATGCTGCCTCTGCTCTGCATCTCTCTGGCCTAAGCCTGTTGAAGATTTTTTAAAATATATTTTTATTGATTTCAGAGAGTAAAGAAGAGGGAAGAGAGATAGAAACATCAATGATGAGAGAGGATCATTGATCGGCTGCCTCCTGCACGCCTCCTACTGGGGGTCGAGCTTGCAACCCGGGCATGTGCCCTTGGCTGGAATCGAACCGGGGACCCTTTAGTCCGAAAGCTGACACTCTATCCACTGAGCCAAACCAGTTAGGGCTGAAGATTTTTTTTTGGCTGACTCACTTTCCCAGTTTCAGAGTAAGTATGGCCCTAGAGGGAATTAGACCCAACTACTGAATTCATTTTAATAAACACTGATTGAGGGATTATGAGCTGGCTTGGGGTTGAGGGTACAGAATGAGAAAGACTCCACCTTTGCACCAAGGGTGATCAGGCTCTTTACTGTCTACGTAAAAAATGTCCCAACATGTAGAGAATTTTTATTAGAGTTTATTTGATCTCTTATTTGATGACATATGCCAGGAGCAAGATCTCAAATGCTCTAGAGAATAATAGTTTTGCAGCTTCTTGCATGCATTTGAAATTAAGGAGGGGTCATCAGGAAGATTGGAGAAAGCAAGGCAGGATTGGATTACAGGATAGTTAAGATTATGTGCTCTCTTTAGGGTTAATATCCCCTTTGAAGGGTATTTCAAAGGTGTGTTAACCTAGATGCACAAGAACAAGGGCTGGTGGTTTAAAACCTTCAGTGATTGCTTCGGCAGCACATATACTAAAATTGGAACGACACAGAGAAGATTAGCATGGCCCCTGTGCAAGGATGACACACAAAACAAAACAAAACAAAACCCTTCACTGAAGAAGTTATAGACCTGGGCATGAGTACCCTCCATGACCTGCACAGTTAGGAATTTTATTTTTTGTTAATCCTCACCTGAGGATATTTTTTCCATTGATTTTTAGAGACAGTGGAAGGTAGGACAGGAAGGGAAAAGAGAGAGAGAGAAACATTGATGTGAGAGAGATACATTGATTGGTTGCCTCCCGCATGTGCCCTGACCAGGGCTGGAGAGCGAACCTGCAACCCAGGTACATGCCCTCGACAGGGAATCAAACCCGTGACACTTCAGTGCTTGGGCCAACATTCTAACCACTGAGCCATGCCAGCCAGAGCCCCAGTTAGGAATTTATGATCAGATCACCCTGTGAGGTTACTTTCCACAGAACTCCCTGTTTTTTGTCCACATGACCTTCCCCTGTCCTCTCCCCATCTTCTTCTCCATGTGTACTACCCCACCCCCACCACTCCTCAGTGCCTCCACATTATGTGCCCTGATGCCTTTGCACATGCTGTTCCAACTGCTGAGATGTTCTTCCTCCCTCCCCACCCCCACTCCCAAAGGCTCCAACCTTCAAGATTGAGCATCATAAATAATTAATTTCAACTCTGGTGGAAGGGACTAGTTCCCCAACGGAAAAGAAGAGGGGACCTATGGCTAGCACCAAGGGATTCTGGGCAGGCAAGACTACAGACACCCTGTGCAGGTGAGGAGAGGAGAGGGAGGGTTGGAAATTCGGGAAACTGGATGACAAAGGTAAGAGTTGGAATGAGTCATGGAGGAGACTCAGGCAGGGAGGAGACACACTTGGTCGGAGCCCAGTGGGAATGTAAGGTTAGCGAACATCTATCCTTTCATTTATCCCAAAAGACACACCCCACACCCCACACCCCTCCTGGGCTTCTGAGAACTTCCCCTCCCCTTCCCTTCCCCCACCCGTGTCTCTACGGTTCCTAAGGCCTTTCTATGCATGGCTGGCACCAGACCCAGATTGGGTCAACCATGGTACACAGCCCTTCATGCAAAATCCATCCCCCAGTGGGTCTCTAGGGGAGTTTGAATTCCATTTTTATCCCTTGTGATTGTCTAGCTTTATGGTTCTACCCAATGCACAGTTCCTGCAATCGGGGAACTTTAAGCAAGGGAGACAAGAATTACAAAGATAGCTAGAATGCAAGGTGACTGTACCTTTCCCATATTTATTTGCTCCCATAAGTGAATACACACACACAGCGACATACTTATAAGTCATAGGCATATATTCATGTACAAAGGTACTGGAAACACAGAGGAAGCTTCACAGAGGAAGAAGGGCATTCCAGGAGAGAGAACAGCTTGAGTGAAGAGCAGAAGGAGGAAAGCATTTCACAGCTTTGGAGAGTTTAGTCCAGCATGACCGAGTGTAGCGTACATGACAGGGTGTGGCTGGAGGGGGAGGACCTGCGTGAGATGAGCCTCGTGGGAGTTATTACACAGTTTGGACTTCATGCTTACACGTGCGGAGAAAAGGACTTTTAGAGGAAGCAGGGAAACCCATCAGCTGACCCACCATTGGTGGGGGACCAACCTTTGTAGGAAAGCTTTTCTTGCCACACTCCTGGGGTTGGTTGAGTTCATTGTTATCCCGATAAGAAGGGGACAGGAGAGGAAAGAGAGCTGCCATGTTGCCTGCTCACCCGTTGGACAGGAGGTGGTAACAGGCAACCCCAGACAGACCTGCGCGAAATCACGGTGTTACGGACCCCACGGAGGGAAGCCGGAGGAGAAAGCTCTCACTGAGGCTGGAGGAACCGTGTGTCGCCTGAGGGCTGTCTGGGGGAATGGGTGGGATTTGAAGCACTGTGAACAAGATCGGTGAGGAGGGCGAGGCCAGCTGAGGACAAGCTGGTCACTCAAGTCACTTAATGGCGATCCACGAAGGAATTACACTGGGAAGGTAGTGCTCTAGGAGGTGGCGTTCTAGGAAGAACTGTAGGAGACACGGGAAGCTGGGCGGTACAGAGGTGGCTTTTAGGGGATGTTTCTTTCACAGACATTTCCTGGGAACCAAGTGTATACCAGCTACTAGATATAGACACAGAGATGAAGAGAAGAATAGAGGAGAAGGATCAGAAGGGTTCCCCAGAGGAGCTGGGCTTTGAAGGATGAATAGGAATGTGCTGGTTAAACTCTCCACTGCTTGGAAATGCCTTCATTTATCTTTAGAAAAACGTATGAAAAAGTCAAATAATACAAAGGGCTATGCAGCGGCCCACAGTCCCTGTCATTAGCTTCTAGCATAGAGTCGTGATTCAGTTCACAGATGCTGGTCCAAACTACCTGAGTTCAAATCTCAGCTCCACCTTGGGCCAGTTCTTAACTTCTCTCTGCCTTAGTTTCGTCACCCACATGAAGAAGGTGACGATAATAGGACCTAACTCCGGGGTTGTTGGAAGAATTAAATAAATTAAAGTGTGTACTGAGTTCAGACCAGTGCCTGGAACATAAGGAATACACAGCACGTGTCCTCCTGTTAGTGCTCATTTTATGTTCCAAGTGTGGAAAGTGTATGTATACAATCCCTTGGTATGGCTGAGGATGAAATAAGATAATGTATATAAATAGTTTGGTTTCCAGCAAAATATTGCTGTTAAAGGTGTTCAAAAGATTTCACTTGCTGCTAGTGGTGTCCTCATTTGTGCAGCAATGTAGCCAGTGAGAGTCAAGAGCCAGAGCGTCTACCTAGGATGATCCTCTACACATGTGTGTTAAAAAGTGAATGAGTGAGTGAATTAATCCTTCACCTTACAGTCACAGGATTGGCTATATCTTTTTTGTGCTTCTTGTCCTGACTTAGGAACAAATTAAAAGTACAAACGTAGGAAGAGAAACATTTTCTCTTTGTACCAGAGGGTCTTCACGCCATTCCCTACATTCTGTAGATGCCCTTCACCACAGAGGCTGGGAGCCTGAGAACTACAGATCCCAGAATCCCTTGCAAGCAGGGACCTGGGTTGGAGTGCACCTGCGTGAGGTTAGGAAGGAGAAAGAGAAGAGCGAACATGAGATTTTGTAGTGACCTCTTGGAATCTGCCTAAAATTCACCCGCTGTGGTCTGCAGAGGGCTCTGGTCAGCATGGCGGGCTCCTCTGTTCCTATGGCTTCCTGACTCTGACAGCGGCAGTGACCTGAGACGTGGGCTGGTTTACCTTCACTGTTGTTCCTCCAGCCCTTCCATTGGCTGTGTAACCACTGAAGTCCTTGTATTAAGCCCCCTCCACCTTGAAATACTTAGAGTGATGTCTGTCTTCCTGGCTGAACCATAAGTAGACATTTTCTTTTTATCAGGAAAGAAAAACTTGCCCGAAATCCACCATTCGACTTTTGCTCTCACGTGTAATGGGTTACAACTGGTCACAAGCCCCATCCAACTGGCAAAGGTTAATGGGGTTACATAACAGGCTTGACCCAGGCACAACTTAGCCTGCAGGGTGGGCACATTGCTGCCTCCTACCAAACAAAGAAGTAAATGACTGTTGTGCGGGCACCTAGAGTTCCTGCTCCCCAGTAGTTCGGAGACCCCAGTCTGGTTCTGAGGGTCCTAATGAGAAACGTCGGACCAGGAGTGGGGTTTATCTTCCAGTTCTAGCTAATGGTAGGAATGAATATCTGAGGAATGGGGCTTCGTGGTCAGACTGAGAACCCATTAGGAAAGAATGCGTTTGCATCGATTTGAGATGAGCAGTAGTACTTTCTTCTCTGCGAAGCATTCTTGGGACTAGAAATCATTTATACGTTATCTATTGAAAGAGCAATTACTATGTTTCTTGCAGCTACTTTATGTTTTAATAAAAATAAAAACCATCACTTTTGTAGTACTTACAGTATGCTAAGCACTTTCCCAAATGCTTTCTGCACATTAAGTCGTGTCATCCTCACAATAATATAAGGTAGGTATTATCATTATTCCCATTTACGGGTGAGGACACAGGCACAGAGAAGGGGCTCAGGGTCACATGGCTTTACCTAAGAGAGCTGATATCTAAACCCAGATCGCCTGGGTCAGAGGTCACATTCAGAACAAGCAAATGAATGAACAAATAAATGAACGAGTAAATGGGTGAGTGCATGAACCCATCACCTGGCATGAACTGAGTGTAAGTTACATTGCTTCTCAGATGTTTATAGCTGCCGTGTGGTGAACACTGAATGTGAGGTGGCATTTTGCCGTGTATTCTACTCATCAATAGATGCTAAAAGCAATCACAGGAGGAGCCATGACATTTGTTCATGTTTGAGTTCATTTCCAGTTGCCGCTGTAACAACTTGCCACGAATCGAGTGGCTGGAAACAGCATACATGGTCTCTTTGACAGTTCTGGTCAGAAGTCTACACTCAGCATGGCCGCCTTCCTCCTGGGACCCCCAGGGAGAATGTGTCCTTTCCAGCTTCCAGTGGTCGCCTGCGTTCCTGGCTCTTGGCCCATCCTTTCATCCTCAAAGCCAGGAGCGGGGCATCTTCTCTCCACTCCGACCTCCCGCCTCCCTCGACAAGAGCGCTGGTAAGTCATCAGGCCCACCAGGTGACCCAGGAGAGCTGCCCATCTCAAGATCCTGGCCTGGGTCACTCCTGCAAAGTCCTGTGGCCATGTAAGGCTACATATTTCCAGCCCAGGCTACCACGTGCTGTAAGACTGCCCTTGTGCAGGCTCCCACATGTTCTAAAGAGAAGGTAAGGGGGGGCCCTGCTAACACCAGTCCGCACAGGATGGGGTGGGCAGAAGTCGTCTTGTGCAGGCCTAGGCCTTCCCTAATGTCTTCTGCGTGTGGCTGCTTGCGGGGGAGGGGGCGGCTCAGCTGTGAGGGAAGCGGAGAGGAGGGCCCTGAGGGGCAAAGCAGCCAGTTTCCCAAAAGGCCCCCTGCCCTTGGCTCGGCAGGACCAGCGTTGAGGGGCCTTCCCCACAGGGCCTGGCTTTCCCAGAAGAAAACCGACAGGGGGACAGGCAGCAGCCCCAACACGAGCTAAGCGAAAGCTCTGAAGACGCCCAGATGGGCTCTGCGTCTCCCACACGGGGTCCCTGGGGTGTCAGCAGGGTGCCTGATGAGAGCAGGGAGGGGAGGGAAGCCGGCAGCGGAGGCCCCAGCGGGTACAGCTTCGTGCGCCTTCCTCGAGGCTCTGAGCACTGGGCAGGCACGTGGTCGGCGATGGGGGGTCCCCGGGGGAGAGTGTGGGTGCAGCGGGGCAAACAGGAGGCTCCTGCTCCCTTTTCCCTGGAGAAGCTCAGCCTTCTGCACGCTCATGGGTCTCCCCGGCTTCTCTTCCTCCCCGTGGCCCCTGCAAGAAGCATTTGCAGCCTCTTCTCCCTGAGGCCCTGGACCGTGAGGAAGGCCGGGGGCTGGGGTGGTCAGGCAGGAGGTTTCTGCCACGAGGAATCATCTCGTTTCCTGCCCCTGTGGCCTCCTGTCTACCTTAGGAAACGAGGCATGAACACAGTGACCGCGGCCGGTAGGACGACCACCGAAGTGTGGCCTTGCTTTCTGATCGCTCATTTGTACGTGGAAATCATGGAAGAACGATGAAATCCATTGCTGTTCCCACACCCCCCGGTGAACTTCCCTACAGGCACAATGGCATCAGGCTTTTCCCAGGGCGGCTTTCTTCTCACCGCCCCCCCCCCCGCCCCGCCCCAGGCAGGATGGCATTTCCGCACCTGCCAGGAAGCTTCCTCCTCACCGCCTTGCTGCAGGCAGACCTGTCGAGCAGGAGCTCAGGTGTGCACGTGGCCGTGAGCACAGCTGGGCCGGCGTCACACAGCTGCCCGCTGCGCTGTTCATTCCACAGCAGCCCGCCCTGTCCTTGACAACAGCAGCCTGGAGCCTGGCTCCGGGGTGACAGGCACAGTCAGTGACTTGCCACAGTAGCCTTTGTCCCATCCGCCCACGACGGGTGCCAGCTGGGCATGCTTGTTCCTGTCCCTCCTGAGTCTGATTCCCGCTGATCCCCACCCCTCGACTCAACTTCCTTCAGAGTCTGGCCTTGCTTGCTCTCAGAACCCTCCCGGGCTGGGCAAGCGCCTAGGGAATGCACACCTGTTCCTGGGCACGCAGTCAGGGAAGAGAAAGAGATACAGAAAACAGGGGAGAAGAAAACTCCACACTGTCTTCCACGGTGGCTGCACCCGTCTGCATTCCCACCAGCAATGCACGAGGGTTCCTTTTTCTCCACATCCTCGCCAGCACTCTAGGACTATATCCCAAGAAACCAGAAACACCCATCAGAAAGGAGATATGCACCCCTATGTTCATAGCAGCACAATTTACAATAGCTAAGATTTGGAAACAGCCTAAGTGCCCATCAGCAGATGAGTGAATTAAAAACTGTGGTGCATCTACACAATGGAATACTATGCTGCGGTAAAAAAAGAAGGAACTTTTACCATTTGCAATAGGATGGATGGAACTGGAGAGCATTATGCTAAGTGAAATAAGCCAGTTGGAGAAAGATATATATCACATGATCTCACTCATATGTGGGATATAATGATCAACATAATTGGATGAACAAGAATAGATCCAGAGACAAATGGTAGGGGAGGGGGGTTATAGAGCAACCAAAGGACTTGTATGCATGCCGATTAGCATAACCAATGGACACAGACACTGGGGCGGTGGGGGCTTGCCCAGGGTGGGAATGATTGGGGGGCAGGATCAATCGGGGGAAAAGGAGACATGTGTAAAACTTTAGACAATAAAAAGAAGAAAGAAAGAAAAGAAAACAGGGGAGGAAAGAGAGCACTAAGAAGACAGTCAGCCCATCGCTCCTCACACCAGGGGGCAAGGGCTGCCCAGGCTCCTTCCAGCTCCGTTTCTGTTCCTGAGGCCACAGCTGGGAGGGCACATGCCAGCTTACTCTCCTGAGCACATCATCCTGGCAAGTGAGGGCAGGAGGCACCTAGAGATGACTAAGACCAGCCATGGCATCAAACAGGTGAGGAAACCGAGGCCCAGAGATGTCAAATGACATGCCCGACCTCAGAGCATGGGTGGGTGGCAAGTCTAGGAACAGAACCTGGGGCCCACCAAAGCGGAACCAACACGCAGACACACACAGGTTGTCTGGGACTCCACATCCTCACAAGAGTGCCCCTTGACCTTAGTATGTCTGCAGACATATTCTGCAGGGGCGGGGCGGAGAGGGACCGAGGGGGGAGAGGGTGCCCGGAACCCACTTCGTGATCATTGCAAAAAGCATCCACTTTTTGCTGCTTAGCCATGTGCCAAGTGGCTAACTGCAGAAGCTCATGCAATCTTCATAGCCTCTCCCTGCAGTAATGTCCGTCCCCAGTTACAAAGGAGGGGCCTGGGCTTGGGGAGGGGGGGCGGGGGTTCCTTCATCACCCAAGTCATTCATCTGGAAAGAGGCAGGGCCAGGATTCGTGCCCAGGTCTGCTGACTCCAAACTCGCGCCCCCTGCCACGCCGGGCTCTGCTCCCATTTGGACAGGGCCTGCTTCTCTTCCTCCTGTAAGAGCCTCTCACAGGCCTCTGGGACTCTCCCCTGGGCCTTCCCTCAGGGTAGCAGGCATATGGAAGGGGAGGGTAAGGGGCTGTAAAGTTTTAGGAGTATCAGTCTGCATGCAAGTGTGTAAGAAGCCCGCGGACCAGCAGAGGAGCCATGCAGACCCCTCCAGGCTACCTGGAGTGGCCAGGGTGGGTGGGCCGGGCCAGGGGCAGGAGGGAGACTCACTTTGCAATGTATACCATTTTATATCTTCCCAACCTATTGTTATGTGTATAATTTGTCTTTTAATTAATTTATTTTTTAAAAAAGATATATATTTTAAAATTGATTTCAGAGAGGAAGGAAGAAGGAGAGAGAAATAGAAAACATCAATAATGAGAGAGAATTATTGATAGGCTGCCTCCTGCATGCCCCACACTGGGGATCCAGCCCGAAACCCAGGCATGTGCCCTGACCAGGAACCGAACAGTGACCTCCTGGTTCATAGGTCGATGCTCAACCACTGAACCATGACAGCCAGGCTATAATTTGTTTGTTTGTTTTTAATAAAAATGTGTTAAAAGAAAACAGATAAAATTAAAAAGAATAAAATGTGTTTTTCAAGAAGTCACCCAAATATATTCAGAAGGGGTTATGACCCCAAACTGACCCACTATGCATGCTTTTCGTAGCACGAGCCCTGTGACACCTGCCAGCTTCCAGAACCAGCCAAGCGCTTCATGCTTTTGGAATGTATTGTCATAAATAATAACTTGTCACCACC